TGGACAAGCTCGGCCCGGAACATGTTGATGTTGCAAGAAGCTATCATAACTTAGCTTTGATTTACCAGGATTTAGGTGACTTTGAGCAAGCCAAGGAGTATCTGCAACGTGCTCTGGACATTCAACTGGACAAGCTCGCCCCGGAACATGTTAATGTTGCAAAAAGCTATAATAACTTAGCTTTGATTTACAAGGATTTAGGTGACTTTGAGCAAGCCAAGGAGTATCTGCAACGTGCTCTGGACATTCAACTGGACAAGCTCGGCCCGGAACATGTTAATGTTGCAAAAAGCTATAATAACTTAGCTTTGATTTACAAGGATTTAGGTGACTTTGAGCAAGCCAAGGAGTATCAGCAACGTGCTCTGGACATTGAACTGGACAAGCTCGGCCCGGAACATGTTAATGTTGCAACAAGCTATAATAACTTAGCTTTGATTTACCAGGGTTTAGGTGACTTCGAACAAGCCAAGGAGTATCAGGAACGTGCTCTGGCCATTAGAGCAGACAAGCAGTGGCTCAACAAAACAGCAAATAAGGTAAATGAAGGACTGCTAACAGAGGCGAAAAACTTTATTATGGAAATTATATTTATTCTAGATAGATTTCACGCAGTCTTTAAGGTTTCTTGCGTTGGTGTTGTGTTAGAATTTAAAAGGGTGAATTTTGCAGGGGGTTTTTTTCACAGCAGCATAAGTTGCATTTTAAACTGCGAAGATCGTCTTTGCATTTTTTCTTCCGCAGTTCCAATATATGAAATTCATATAATCTTTATAAATGATTTTAAACTGATAAACTCCATGAAGTTTTACATATATTAATCATGGAATCGATATTTCGGACGTTGGTAAGACACCTCTTAATTCAAGTTTGACTGTAACAGTTTCTGTTTATACTCTATTCCTGCTTTCCGTATCTTCAAGTTTCTTCTAATGAAAAAAACCTGTTAGTCCTTGCAGATCTCTCATGAAGCTGAAAGGCATTTATCACAACCCAAGAAAGAAGATGATGACGTCGGGGATGATGATAAAGGCAGTAGTAAGGACGGTAAATCAGAAGTCAGAAGTACGGGTTTACAAATTAAGTGTTTGAAACGATTTCATAAGGAAATAATTCTTGAACACATGTAAAGAAAACTTACGAGTTTTTTCATGTGCTTTTAAATTTATTTAAAAGTGTAAAATACAGAAAAACATTCACTGCGGCGCTCAAAATCCTGCTGAGGTTTCGCAGTCCAGTTTGGCGCTAGATTTGGCGCCAAGACGGACTCTGCACGTAAACATGTGATTTCTACTTTTTGGTACGTTTCAATCTCTCGTGATTGGTTGAGCCGCCTTAGGTTCTTATTAACCAGAAGACCTTACTTCGGGAACTGTAATGGGTAATTCTTTTGTTCTGATTGATGTATCCATGGAAATTTCCCCGAGGCACTGACTTTCACCTTGGGAAAACCGGTCACACAAAAAGCCGCTTCCCCGTGGGCACGATTCACCTCAGTTCCTCTTTGATGATCTTATCATTATCATAACAACATCATCATCGTCATTAATTTTGTTATATATTATTATCTTCTTCATAAAGACCTGTATTGCATTGTCTGGCTCATTATTTCTTTTTCATGAAAGAATGTCCTTAAAGATATAATTCCATGTATGGTGAAAATTCATTGTAGTTGACACTTCGTTCCTTGTTTTTATTTATCTTGTTGTCCTGTCGAGGACATAAGACAAATTCCTGGCCTTAGTCTTTAAGTAAAAGAAAAGAGGTAACATAGAGCATTTAAAAGAAACATTTATTTTCCATCTTAAATTATACGACAACAACAATAGCACTATCGTACTACTGAAACGGTTTTCACTATGTTTTCGCATAGCAGAAGATGCAACAACTATGAAACTTGAAGATGACCTTAATGCAGAAGAGACATCAAGTGAAGATGAGGATGAATTGCCAGAAGAAGGACGTGGGCAAAAAGACTTGTGGGAACAAGATGAAGGAAAGGAGTCCTGGGACGAGGACGAGCACGAGCACGAGCAAGAGGGCGACACTGACGACGACGACGAAGATGACGACGCGAACGATGATGAGCACGAGCTTGAGGGCGACGACGACGAGCAAGAGGGCGACGGCGACGACGACGACGACGACGACGAGGATGAAAACGCGAACCAGGACGAACACGAGCACGAGGGCGACGAGGACGACCACGATGATGACAACGACGAGGACTCGAACGAGGACGAGCACGAGCACGAGGGCGACGACGACCAGGATGAAATGAAGAGATTGTCTGCGTTGTTTTTACAAGGTTAGAAAAAATGGCAGCTTGATAAGACTTATAAGATATGGAGCATCGTAAGTGAAATCCATGCATAGAACACTGCTGTGGCAAATCATCATCATCTGCTGTCAGCCGTTGCTACTAAGACTGATGGACTTAAGACTATAGGGTTCATCATAGTTTGATCTCTCGTTAACACTCACCTGCCAACGGTCGAGATTGATGTCTCTCCTTTTCATATTTCTCTTAGCAACATCTTTGAACCTTTACCTAGGGGTCCCTTGATTACGCATGCTCAAACAGAGCTGAGAGTACAATAGCTGTGTTGGATTATCCATCCTATGCAAGCGACTGGCCAGAGACTTCCTGTGAACAAAGCCCCACCAACTGGGGGTGAAATATCTAATTTCCGCAATACGTGGATGAAATTTCACGGAGTAATCATTTATTTAGTAAAGCCTCGTAAGCAAGAACTTTTACTATTTCGTATTTTTTTGTATTTGGTCCTTATCAGGTGTGCAAGCAATTTTTAAATGAACTGTTCTTTTTCTTTTTCAGCAAAAGCTAAGAAGCGTCCAGCAGGGGCCGGTAAAAGAGGACTTTTCAGCGAGGAGGAAATTCCGGAAAGCAAAAGACCCCGTTTATCCCCGGCACCTTTCTCGGATGGGTTGGGAGAAGGTTCAGGACCAAACACCCCAGCTCTAACCCGTAATGAAAAGAGCCCTCAGGGAAGTGAGAAAGTACCTCACAAGTAAGCCCATGACCAGTGAGGACCTTTTTCAAAAACCTTGAAGAGCAAATGTACAGGACTGTCTACTAATGCCACCATGGAAAAGCTTGCTGCTATTTTGAGGAAGATACTATAAGAGCAGAAGGCAATCAAAGCGAATCTTCATCTTTCGCTGAGATAACAGAGCTTAGATCTGCATGCAGTTCATTTCTGGATTCAAAGATAACCAACCAAAGACTTACTTTCTATCATTTAGTAAGAACATTGTAAAGGTAGCACATGCAAAATCCACCTTTTAGTAAACGTAATGTAAATGTGTAAATGTAAATGTCATATTATCCACTCCCCTCAGGGCTTTTCAGGGATAATCTACAACACTGGTTGGGGGACTTTGCCAGACTGCTTAAGGTGCAGTTTACAAGTAACGTAGGAATGAGTAATGATGCCCCCATACATGAGTGTGAAAGTGAGATAGACCACTACACAGGGCACCTTGTTGAAGTTGTTCATTTAAAACTGCATTTGCTTAATAGATTTGATAGATTTAATAATTTCTTATTGTAAACTTAAGACCACACCATTTTCAACATGAGGTCTTACGTATTATACAGCTCCGCAAGGGACTGTCCACTATAATGTTGTGAAGAATTTTCTAGGTTGTTATGAAGATTTTTGTCATGCGGTATTTATTTACTGATTTTATGTTTGCACTTGAAGATTCACTCGTGCTTAGTAAGAGTCTCATTATAATTAGGTTTGTATATCAAGGTTAATTCGTAATTGTATAGACAGGTTTTGGAATTTTATTATCTTGTAAGGGTTTTTTTGTAACACAATAGTCTTTGTCATTTATTAAATATGAGTGTCAGTCCTTGAAGTGAGCACGTTTTGGGGTTATAGCTGACTATGTTTGTTACCTACATCAGAGTTCCCGTTTTGGTTTAAGTTAGAGCCTCGTGGGTTTAGTTTTTAGAAAATGCGTTCATAACTCTCATGGTCAGCTAGAAAAAAAATTCACTTTATATGCATGAATGTCAATGCATTTAGCGCGAATTAAGTACTAATTGGGGACACTATTTTGGCTCCAACTGGAGACTATTCTCGGATACCCAGGGGTGGTCAGGTAAGTCGAAAAAAACGTCAGTGGCCAATAATAACGGTGGCCAATAATAGACCCCATCTTAGTCACTTTTGGGCAAATGTAATTTTCTCGATCCCACCATAGTTAAGGTGATGTTACACGGAACGATTCGCAACGACGATTTTTAGCGCAACACAGCATTACAACATTGTTTCGACATTATTTTGAATGGTTGCAACATTGTTCCAACATTGCTACACTGCGTTGGGCTAAAAATCGTCGTTGCGAATCGTCCCGGGTAACATCATCTTTACTTTCTTGATCTATTTATCTGTTTATGAATCTACAATACCTTATAATGAATGAAGAATACTTCACTTTTCACCTACAGTACAAACATTCTGGTACGTTTGCTAGCCGTAAATGTGAAGAACTTTTTTACCCCAAAAATCCGAAAATGTGCGACCCCATTCTAGTAACTCCATTGAAAATGCAATCAAGACGTAAAAATGCGCCCCTATCCAGCGGCGCATCCCCATTAGCCTCTTGTAAGGAAGTACCTCCCCCTGGAATGACTTATACCCGCCACTGAACATAAGATAGTTAAGGACTGAGAAAGTACACGTCTGTCATTAGATGCTCTGTGATAATAAAAATACTTTTCTGTTCTGAAAATGGAACACCTGCCATTCGGCTCCGTTTTCTCGTCGCCATATTGGAAAACGAAAAAAACCTGTCAGGGAACTGTCAGGGGACAAACCAAGAATCCCTGGAATCCCTAAACAACATCTACCCCAGGCCTTTCCACAGTGTTGTTTGGAAAGAAAAGAAAATTAACTCATAAGAGTTCTCCACCGGTTAAAATTGGCCCACCCTTAATAATAGTAAATTCAACAGGGTTTCCAAAAAAGCTGGCACAATCCCAGAGGGGGAGGGGGTGGTGCTCAACAAGTATTATACAGGGAGGGCCCCGCCCCTACCTTTAACCCCTTGCCCCTTTATAAACTATTTTTCACAAGAAAGGTTCCCTTTTCGTTTACCTTGTTTTGACAAATGGTACCCTTTCTTTTACCAAGTTTATTAGATATTTTCATCCCTTTTAACTGCTGTGAATGCAATGTCTTTTAAAATGAATCAACCACAAAATCAGAACTTTTTTGGACTTTTTAGCGCCATAAATTTATCTTTTAGCCCTTTTGGGCCTCTTTACAGATCAAAATGACAGATTTCCCTTCCCGTTCATTTACTTCAACTAGTGAAATCCCTGTACTTTTTCATATACTTGAAGCAGTAGACCTTTAGGGCGTAGCCTCCGGCGTGGTATGGGGCCATTATATAAGGAGTATCCCCCTCCCCGGGGTCACAATAGCTCTCTTCTTAAAAGAAAAATTTGAAGAATGTTTCTTCCCGGCATTTTTAGTTTGTTAGAATGGTCTTTGAGTGCAAGATAATTGGGGCAGTCTTCTTGGTTCTTAAAGACCCCCATGCTAAAAACACAAAAGTGAAAACTTTTACGTACCTCCAGGCTTTTTGCCATTCGGGATAAATGTGCCCCCACACACCAACGCCCAAATGCTCTTGTACCCTCGCCGCTTTAAACATCAATTTATTAGCAGAACAAATGTTGAACGAAAGATATTCGGCAGGGTATCAGGCTCCAGTGTTCGGTCTTTTCGCTCCGCTTTCCCCGCCCCTCCCCTTCTAACAAGCACCTGAAAAAACGAGTGACCTTGGGTGACCTAAGTCCTGATTTCTGCTCGGTGTACGGCTTGGTCGCTGTCTGTACATGATGGCGAATCAAGTGATTAGGGCTCTGTTCGTATACAGTTTGGCTTTGTTTTATGGCTTTATGGTATGTTTTTTTCTGTTGTTGACTGCTATTAGGAACCTTGAAATACCGAGAAGAGGAAAGCGACGAGAAAAACGTAAGTAAGGATCGGTAAATTTGCACCGGTGCAAACTAATGGCCTGGTCAATAATATTCATCTTGTCTGTTGTGCTTTGTATCTTTAGTTAATTCGGTTATCTTTTTGCGTCTGATAGTGCTCACTACAGCAGGGACTCTTCGAAACATTAGCTTTACATCAATTAATGAGAAAACTGGCAAAGTTGCTTTCCCATCTAGAGCATACTATTTTTAAAGCGGCACACAGAGAAGAAAGCGAACTGTTACTGTAGCTAACCCAAAGCTTAAGCTTAGGGAAAGTTCATTTAATATGACAGAGGGGGGGAAACATATTATTATATTGAAACTCGAAGCTTGAAATTTTAGCAGCCCCCCTCGCTAGCGGTTCAATTTTTTAGGAGCCCCCTCCTTGGTAGTCGAAAAAATTTCAGAGCCCCCCCCACCCCCATCCTCCTTCGATTCCTTTACTCCCCTGAAAAAAGATCGCAAGACTGTATTAAATATATTTACCGTTATTGTCTTCAATGGTTTATACTATGACAAACTTGAGATACAGTTGTGATACAATTTTCTAAAGCATTTTTGGGATGAACAAGAGTGTAATAATTACTGAGACTACATTTGTTATATCTGTAAACCACGTGATATAGCTGAGTTGCACAGGCCATTAAATTGTTGAGTTGAAAACCATCCGATCTGTATGATGATGTCATGTGTTGGTTTTGAAGTATACAAATTTTTGAGAGCCCCCTCCTAGCGCAACATTTTTTTCAGAGCCCCCCCTTCGGTGTCTAAAAATTTTCGAGCCCCCCCCTCAATATCTTCATCCCCCCTTGTCATGTTAAATGAACTTTCCCTTATGTTAGTAAGCTCACTTTGGGGGACTACAAACTGGTTTTCATAATGACCATAAAAACCCATGTCATTATTTTTCTCTGTGATGGTTAGTTAATGGTTATTTTATATTTTTAATACCATTCTTTGTTCTCGATTCATTGACTGTCCAAAGAACTGCTATGAAGGACGCCATCTAAATAAACAAATCGAACAAGTAATAACACAAGTGAAACACTTTTTTACTGTTGTGAGATGCGTAACCGTGAAATGTTATTCCCTGTATTTGTACAGTGATTTCTACTATTGCAGGATAAGGGGCCAGTCAATTTTAAACTTCACCATCCAACACCCACCCCCCCCCCCCCGCCTGGGCAACCTCTGGAGCATTTGAACTTTTTAAAGGGACAGGTTCGCGATATTATGGATGTGTGAGTCTGACAGTAGCTGATTTTTTTTAAACCAATCGGAAGCAAGTTGGATGCACACAGGGAAATTTACACAGGAGTATTTCTAGACGTTTGGCTTTATTTTATATGTCCCTATAATTCATATTCTTTGCTATTCCTCAGATATGTGTTGCAGCCAGTAAGAATAAGATTTACAGCCCTGTCCTGCTCTGAAACAAACATTTACCTTCGTGTATTTTTATGAGGTCTTTTACATACCCACGCTAACAAAGCCGTTACCGATTGGCAGACAAAAATTAATTTGTAAACAAACCTAAATAATAATTAATTAAAAACATATAACGTGCCTTTTCCTTGCCTTTTTCTGCCTTTTCCAAAAAACCTTTTATTACTGATCTCTCTGTTTGCCCTATATAAACCTAGAAATACCTGCAAATAGCACCTGACCGATGACAAAAACACACAGCGTATGGGTGTAAAGGTTATCCTAAATTGAGCTTAAACTTTGCTTGCTTATCAGCAAATGAACAGATCGATCAGCTAAGCTTCTCTATCTCCAAAGACTCTTTAGAACGTCCTGTTGCGTGGTGCCTGTTCGTTCCTCACGAGTACTTTAGAAATAGTAGACTTAACTTCCTTACGTAGAGCTATGAATGAGCGAATTTAAAGGCAGATTCCTGTATTCCTTGGATTTGCAGTTTATGTCTTCTTCCTATTTAGTGTTGGCCTGTATGTTTCATTCTGGAAGCTGTCACGATGCACATGTGCATTACCGTAGACTCTCCAGTTTAAGATAGGCCTGGTCAATGCAGTGGTTGGGCGGGAGAGAAATGGGAGGAGGGAGGGTGGGAAAGGCCTGCAACGAGGCCATTATCCTAATAGGTCAGTTTTCAAAACATGTCAATCACGGCCTTGATACTTAATCCGATTGGTTGAAATCAACATCACGGCCGATATGTTGTTAGTGAAGTGTAATGAATTCATTGTTAGAATTAGAAACTGAAGGCATCAATTTCAGCTTGAAAGGAGAATAGAAGAAAGCAGTTTTCTTGCTTTGTTCTATTATTTAAAGAACCATATAAAGGAAAAGACCTGTCAGCTTGATGAGTTTTTAACTGACTGTTTTTGAGAAGTCTCCCAATGGCTTGTTTTACTCACTAGAAGAAAGGAAGGCAAAATCATGCTGCGTGTGTGATTGTTAGGTGGCGCGTTTGACCACAAACGCCTGTCATATAGGCTATGCCTTATCAATGAATCTGAAGTTTAACATCTGCTAAAGGATTCTGCTTTGCATATTCTTGCTTTGTATATATAAATTATTTATTTATTTTTCTTTTTAACTTTAAATATTTGATTTTATTGCTATTTTACATATATATCTTTTTATTTCATAGGTTCCTCAATTAGCTTCATAGTTAAAATACCTGACACTTAAATAGAGTTTATAATTATTATTATTATTATTTTTATTATTATTATTATGAATGACATTGGCATCGCCAAAAAGCAGCAACGTCATATAATCAAGAAAATGATACATATAACCATTAGAGCAACACATTACATCTTTTGTTGTAGAAATAGGAACTGGGATAGCACAGACTTAATGCAATTTTGAAATTGGACGACCGCGTAGCGGGAGTCCGATTTGTTTAATCACAGGTATGATTAGAGACCAGATTGGACGACACTAAGTTCTGTTACCAAAATTATTAATCATAACTTTAACAAAATTTGTGATAAATAAGGCTCTTTTCTTAAATCAAAACAAAAGAAATTCCAATTTTTTTTGCTAGCAGTGAAAAAAAGCCATTTAAGCGCGCGCGTGATGGCGTGTACTGTTCAGTTACTCAGGCATGACGCGTACTGTCTAATTAAATTGTCCTATTAAGGCTGAAATCAGGGCAGTTGATAACCAATCAGATTTGAGAATTTTGTTATAGTTATGATTATGATGATGATGATGATTATTATTATTATATTTTTATAATTATTCATTAATGAAATGTTCATGGGGGTTATATGCTTGACCTGGCTTGACTGTTAAAGAGTTGATGTTTTCATTTCACTATAGCTCCTGCCTGCCTTCTTGACCCTGAACTTGGTGAACACCATTTCCTGAGAACAGCATCAAATATCAGGATCCATTATGTTGCTAAAGGAGACACAGGGAAACCACTTATGCTGTGTATACATGGGTTCCCTGAGGTAATGTACACACGTTGTATATGTACACGCAATAAAAGTTCAAGATTTAATCCAGTTCCATCAGTCTACTTGTAAGTATATTTTGTAATTTATTAGCAGATGTAATGCTATTTTTCAAGGAAATACTGTTAATACAATGTAAACCATTATTATAATTATTATTATTATTATTATTATTATTATTAATACAAAGAAGTTAAATATATAGAGGATATTACACGGTGGCACAAAGATATGAATTTTATTTTCGAGTGGCAAAACAATATTTTATGCACAAGCGCAGCGAGTGAGTAAAATATTGTTTTTGCCACTCGTAAATAAAATTCATATCTTCAAGCTGCCGTGTAATGTTCTTTTTATTATATAGACAAAAAGACATCGATAAAATAATAGAGGGAAATGACTGAAATTACGTCATTGATAAACTCACGTGTGAGATTATGGAAAATAAACCACGCGGGTCCCGGATGTAAGTTTTTATGAATTTTACGAGTGGTATATTTTCCAGTAAAACACTCGTGTCTGTATAATAAATAATAATGAGTAACTTAGAAAATATTATGCATTGAAAACCACTGACCCTGTTTTAAAATCACTTTGCAGTTCTGGTATTCCTGGTAATATCAGCTGAAAGCTTTTAGTGATAATTTCAGGATGGTTGCTGTAGATTTGAGGTACTGTAAAAAGTATATAATGATTTGTAAAATACAAATTGCAAGTAGCCAAACTGTATTATGCACAGCTGCTATAACTGTAAAACATACCTGAGTAATTAAGTTTTAACACAACAAAATGTGGGATTTTTGTCCAGTTAGCTAACTTATTTTTGGCATCCTTGAGACTGACAGAAATTGTAGCTCAGTCACATGGTAATTTAATTCAAAACTGTTGAATATGCCCATACCCCATCTCATTCTCAGCAGTTTATTTTGATTTCATGAAAAACAAAATTAAAGAATTTTTTTAAAAAGCTAACTCTTACGGCAGTATTTTGTATTTAAGCGGCTATGGTGAAAGTGACAGTCCTAAAGGGCGAGAACACTACAAGACGTCATTATTGGTTAACGACATTAAAGAAATTGTAAGTGCACTTAAATGTATTGCTGAAACAGCAGATTGAGTGAAGAAAATATAAAAATGTTTAATCCTCTGTATGCACCTCGTAAACTTTGTTATAAAATATTTTGTAGATTCAAAGGACACTTTTAAATTAAACATCATAGTCTAGAAGATTTTGTAAAAAGATCACAAATGCAAAAAAATAAAAAAACACAACAAAACAGAACAAAAATTAAATAAATAAGAATAATAAATTTTTTTCTTCAAATATGTCTGTAAAGCTTTGAGTACATGTTGTCCAATCCAGAAATAAGGGCTATAATATTTTATATTATACTGTGTTGCAAAGGAGGTCATCAGGTATTTTTTTTTTATATCAATACCCGTAATGTATAGGATTTATAATGAGAGCTCAGAAAAGATATTAATACAATTTATTAATTTATTTACAGATTGAGGCACTTGATTACAAATCTTGCACTTTGCTGAGTCATGACTGGGGTGGAGCTTTGGCATGGTAAGGTGGCCACTGTGCCATAATATAATCTCACAGACACTTGTCCATTAGACAGAAGTTATCAAGCCAATTCCTCTAACTCATGCTTGTGGATGCCATCTTTCTGAGTGACAGTAATGACCCTTCTTGAGAAGTGTTGATATAACCTGTCAATTCTGAACAAACAGAAGGTATACCAGGAGCTGGTATACCAGAACAAGTCTTGTAAACAAATGATTACAGGCTCTGCCGCCCTTCCCCACTGCAGTTTTCTTCTGTTTTATTTCCGTGTTGGCGCTTTCTCAATTTTGCTAACCTGACTATCTCGAAGCCTGAAAGAGGCTAGCCTCCCATGCAGATATTCTTAGGGGTTCATTACGTGTTCCTGCCCCACTAACCTGTGATAAACCCCTAAGAAAATTTACATGGGAGGCTAGGAATAGCTACTGCAGTGAAGGCATGGTATTCAGGCAAGCAAGAGCTTAGTATGTCCAGCAGTCATATTATCCTTGATTTTAAAAGCATAAGAGAGTTGGGGATGGTACAGAGTTCAATCAATAGGGAGTCATACAGCAAAAGATTGGCCTGGGGGGAGGGGAAGTGATGAAACAAATCTTCCATTCAGGGCTTATTTGTGAGGGATAGCGGGGTATCTGCAATTTTCGTTGGTGGGGAATATGAACTGCCTTTGGTTCTATTTTTTCTTTTGTTCATTACCATGAAAGAATGAAAGAACTAGGATGGTTATATGCTCGTGAAAGCTGAGTGAAATACCCATGTAGCAGCCAGCCCTTTGTGACAGCCCAAACTGATTGAGAGTTCAAGGCTTAAGTGTATATTCAGTGTGCAAAGAAAGTAGTGTCCGATAGCCCGGGGCTAGTGATTTTGCTATTGGGGATAGTGTATTCTGTTTTTAACTTGCGGGACAAGCAAGTGATGTTTTTTGAGGAATTCGAATAACAGAAGAACTGTGAAATCAATTCTGCTAGTCAAAAAGTTTTTGGGGCTAGTTGAAATAACGTCTGGGCTAGTAAATGCTAGCTTCAGCTTGCCCGAATGGCAAGCTGTAAAATGATTTTCTTTGCACCCTGATATTTGTTGTTTTAAAATTGGCGCGGACTGTGAGCAGTCCCTGAGGAGTCGGAGAAAGTGGGTGGAGAAGGGAGAAGTTACTCTTTTCTTCTTGCATCTCTTCAGCTTCCTTCTCGGTTTACTTGTTCTTCACAGTCCAGCAAAGCCCTAGTCTTTTTTGCACACCTCAGGCTGGAGTCATGCAGTGCTTCCTGCCTCAATGCGGGGGGGAGGGGGAGGGGGGGGGGGGGGGTGGAGAGCATTGTGTGATTTCCAGACCAAGCAGCTCTGAAGGAGACTAAAATGCAGACTGCAGACCAGGGGTAAAATGCAGACTGAGTGTAAAATGCAGACTGCAGACTGAGAGTAAAATGTAGGCAAGGGGCAAAATGCAGATACCATGTGAGTTTCTAACTTTTAACTTTCAAACTAACAGAAAGCTACAGAAAACTAACTGGGACCCTGTAACCTGTGTTTAACTTGATAACAGACATCCATATTATAGTCAATTGACAGCTGTCAAAACAGTTACTAAATTAGTTTAGCCGCACTTCTTCGCAGCCCTTATTTCTTATAATATTGTGATGTCGAGGTGGCCTCTCTTTATAAGCCTGGTGGTTTCTTGAGGTCTCCTCGCCCAACAACCTGCTCAGGGTTGTCACTAAGATTTCAAGTTGCCGGGTATTTGTTGTTAGTAGCCGGGGAAGTCGCAAGCAGTCATGGAGCCCCTTCCCACCCCCCCCCCCCCCCCCCCTTCCCCCAAGAAGGTTTTGAAGTGCAGCTTTTACCGTTTTCGAAAAGGCATTACCACCCCAAAAAAGCAATCTTCATCAAGAGTACAGCTATCATTAGCGGTTTTATGATGATCACGTCTTATTAAAGAAAACTACAACATTCTGAGACACTAAAATAATAGTTAAATTACTTTACGTAAAGGCTCGTTGGAGGGTTTTTTTAGTGGCTGCCAAATGGGAATATACATGTAAGCACCGGGCCTGAAAAAAATGACAGGTTGGCACCGGTCACGTTATCTGCGCAGTCTTATCTTCACGCAGACAAGGGCGCATGCTGGCCAGTGAAGTGTTAAATCACAACGATACTTTACAAATGCTAAAAATGTTGAAAGGACAATCGATTCTTATACGGTGCAAATGAATTAACATGCGCTGTAAAATCAATTGTAAATCCTCATTATTTTAATGTACGAAAAAGCATCATAAACATAAGGTTACTATGGCTTGTTGAAAAATAAAAGTATGATAAGGCTAAGACAAGCGTAACGCACGAAAAATCGCGGGATTAAATATGGCAAAACTAAACTGCACAACTGGTGACATTAGTGGTCTCGAATTTATGAACGAAACATCACTTAACATACGAAGAAACTGACCTACGGAAAAGCGTTTAAACGACAGGGCTAATACTTTATAAACGACGCTGAGATGTCAAAACGAGACTCAAGGAGAAGAATGTAAAAGTAATGCTAATACTTAACTTCCCTCTTATATATAACTTCTTGGAAGTAGAACTAAGAGCATGTGATCATGGCCTGCGGACAATGATCGAATATTTCCCGTTGACCGTGCGTTATTTTATATACTCGATACCTAAAGCTAAATGTAGACCTGGTCACTTAAATGTCCACATATTAAACATGCCAATCAGTCATAGTCTTCATCTTCAAAGCCTTCATCATAATCCTAATTATCATCAACATCAGCATCAGGTAGATTTAACCCTCGGATGATGCCTCAACTTGTGATGTCAACAGAGATCTGCTCAGGTCTTTCATCGTGAACAGAGAGTGCAGAATCCTTTGCCACTTCTTCGACATGTTCAACACAAACCCTACACAACGGTTGAAACTTTTAGCATCGACAAAGGTGACGGCAGCGAAAACGTCACTTTTAAAAATGAATTGGCGTTTTTTCCAACTTTGTCGCGTTTATTTCAATTCGCTGAAAATAGCTAATGTAGGCCAATTTCCCTGGAGTTGATTTCTTTGGGCGCACTCAAGTTTAGAAAGAGAAAGAAAAGTTTGTCGTCGCTTGTTTTACGTCCTCCATAAAACGTGAAACTAGGCATTTTCACGTCGTAGTCGTGCAGTAACGGCAAAGAAATGTACAAAAAAGCGTGATGCACGTGCAAACTAGTTGTTTTGCTCAATAAACCTATTGCTTTTTTGACGTTCTCGTTGCCGTCGCAGTCGTCGTTGCTAAATCTCCCTACTGACATTTCGCGAACGGAGAGTTTTCGCGCGTGTGTACTAGTACCAAATCTAAGTCAGATGTCTTTTCCGACGTTTCTTAGTTTTTGCACGCGAGTATTTCAGAATTACTTAAACCTGCTGCAGATGAAACTCGCATTTAGTTTGATGGATAGTCTTTGCGTGTTTCAAAGGTGTGCTCTTTTGGTTTAATTTAACGACGAAAGCAGCCGGGGGCCATGCTCTGAGTAGCCGGGGGAAATCCCCGGCCCCCGGCCCTTAGTGACAACCCTGACTGCTGTATTCTGTTAAATTTGCTGTAAAAAAAGGCTTATAAATGATGATGATGATGACCAGAGCCACATAACTGTATTGCGGGCTCTGATGCAAACTCATCGAGGTCACGTGTTTTTTTGAAGTTTTCTGCTGACCAGTTGTTAGCTTTTAAATGATCGCAGGCTCACGTTTCTGTTTTTCAGTCATACAGTTGTCCCCTTAAGTTAAGTATAAATTTGTGGATTACCTTGCGGTTGTTTAAAGTCCACTGTATGAAGTTAAAGTAAAATGCATAAATGGGAGCTTCAGTTTTAGCTCTGGCTAAATCTATATATCAGGGCTTGTTCATGGTCTGTCTTGTTATTAATGGTAAACGAGGCAATCTACATATGAATTTAACATAACAACATCAAAATTTGGAGACTGTGGAATGGAGATTCCAGAAGCGTGGATGGCTACGATCAGACAGAACAGAAACGTTGTAGTTGTATAAATCAATGCGCAGGATCGAAACGCACCAACTATAATTGTGGTTTGTGTTGTACACCAATCACCAGCAAACACAATTCCATTTATAGTCCCACAGCCAATTGATACCACGGCCCAATGAGGACTAGTTAAGATCAATGACAAAGTGGCTATTGTCAAACAATCAAAAATGTTAAATAAGCCCTACCATTTTGTTTTACAGTTAAAATTTAAAATGACAATAGTTATGGCAATGCACGTGTGAAGTGAACTGATATTCCCCCAACAGAGTTATTGCGAGTCATTAGCAGTCAAAAGTTTCAAATCTACCCTGGTTTCCTTGCAGGTTTTACTGGTCGAAAGGAAGCAGGAATTAATGAGAATTCTTCTTATTACATTTTAACTCAATGTGAGGATGGAGCATTTGAAGCGGTTCCAGTCAATAACTGGTACAGTTCTTCACTGTCGATATAAAATACCAGACATTAACAGCTGATGAGGCAGAAGAGGAGTTTAATCGACGTGAAAGAACATTGAATTATTTCTCTCTTATGGTCAAGAAGAGGTTAGCAGACAATAAAGATGATATGGAAGAAGGGGGACACAATGACATGGATAAAAGTTCCAAGATAGAGAGTAGAACAGCAAATTTGGTAAGAGAAAATAACATGATTCCATTTTAACCCTTTCAATCAAGAGTGGCAAATTTCAATATTACTCATTCAAAATATTTCTCCATTTCTGATTGGCTAAAATGACACATATGATTCATCATAACCAGCTACTGTTGACCAAATTTGGAATTATTTCGCAAAATTAAACCAAAGATGTCAAAAGTGCAGGAACTGTCATCCAAAGACAGCAAATAAAGAACGGCTGGTACGATACCAATTCTACAATCCTGGACAAAAGTCCTTGGGACAGTACTGCAATATTCATATTTTTCTGTCATTTCTCGGTTCCCTCTTAAAACAGTGCATCGTTTTCGAAATTTTCTTGCAGTTCTCCGTCCACCCACCCTATACAAAGTTGAAACTTGGAAAAAATTCAGGATACACGCGTCCAACATTGTTTGTGGGGTGAGGGGAGGGGTTGGGCCTTCGTGAATTGGAAAACGCCCCAGAAATGCAAAAGTGTTCCAAGACTTTTGCCCATGATTGTAGGTCTGCCCTGAAAAGTTGTCTGGGATCTTTATACCTTTCTAGGAAACTGTCCACCTATGTATCTTCTGTTTGTAAAGGTGACGAAAAGAAAAAGAAGAAGTGTGGGAGTGGCTCCAGTATCTCTTCAAATAGCCGTTCATCGACCCCTACGATTGCTACAGACGGCGCTGCTAATACCATTGCTGCCGCTGCTACAAAGCTGAATCAGGACAGACCAGGGACTCCCTGTAAGTATATCCCCACCAACCAGGGGTAAGATGCCTATTCTCCGACTATGTAGATGAAATTGTATGGAGTGACCGTATAAATGAAACCTATTTAGCAAAACCTTCGTCAGGTACTATTTCTTTTACAGTGTTTTACAAACTAGCATTTTGGATGTTGTTCCATTTATTCCCGATCAGTTTCATGTTCCCAGTGTTGAAACAATTTTTGAATTGTCTGGGTTTTTGTAGCAAAATCAAAGAAGCGCCTAGCAAGTGCAAGTGAAAAAGGTACCCCAGGCGAAGAGGGAAGTCCAGCAAGCAAAAAACCTCGTGTATCCCCAGCACCTTCCGCGGGAGGGGCAGGAGGAGGCTCAAGAACAAGCACCCCAACACCTGCCGGTAGTGGGGAAGGCCCTCAGGGAATCGCTGAAGAAGCCTTGAGAAGGTACCTCACAAGAAAGCCCATGACCAGCAAGGACCTTTTGCAAAAGTTCAAGAGCAAACGAACGGGCTTGTTAAATGATGAGACCGTGAAAAAGCTTGCTGCTATTGTTAGAAAGATACAACCCGAACAGAAAACCATCAAAGGGAAACTTTATCTGTCGCTTAAACCACAGAGCTGAGATGTGCGAGCGAGAAGGTCTCTTGTTTCGTCCCATCCTCGCTTAATCTTCACGTGCGCGCCTGATTAAGTCGCTTTAATAATAGATCTTTTTACCTTGGGTTGTGTGTTAATCCATTCTTAGTTTAGTCAAAAAACATCAGCGTTAATTGCAAGTTATGCGTCATTACTACCAATTGAACGGTTCCACTCACGTAGCCAGCATCTATGGAAAATTCATTTGAACAAAAGGAAGTGTTTACATAAGAAAAGAGCAGACTCGTACCCAGTGGCTATTTATGTGTTTTGGGGGTGAGAGAAGATTGGGGGTTAGGTTGAGGCGCGCACGGGGTCTCATGGGAAGGGACAAAGGGAAAATAGACCCCGCGCGCGCCTCAAGCTAATCCCCAATCTTCTCTCACCCCAAAAAACACGTAAATAGCGACTGGGTACGAGTCTGAGAAAAGAGCTTAACTCCCACAAGAATTGCTCGGAACACCAACA